GTAATTGTAGACAGAGACACAAAGACACTGGATTCACTGCAGGCATGAACAATTTTTAGTCCTTCCTCTGCTGTTTATGTATCATTTAGCTAGCTACTAAATACAGACCAGCAAGCAGAGCTTGAGCAAACAGTCTTTTTGGCCCCTTTCTCTGAGTTCCTTCTTTAGCACTTCCCTGTCCATATAGTCTTGCCCTCGGTCCCCCTGCCCAGGACATTCCTCCTTAGACAACGTCTCGTGCCCGCAGTTTTCTACTGTCAAATAGTCAAGTTCAATCAAGGTTTGTACCTGAAAAAGGAACAGCAGACCATCTAGACCCCAACACCTCTTAAACTGTACCTCAGCTAGGAGACACTATGGTATTATTCTGTAGTCTTGAGAGATGGATTAGTCTTTGTTAGTTGGTTAATTCCCTAGATGTTTATTAAGGTCCTATCCTGCGCAAAAGGCTACAATTCACTCTAAACGTGTCTTACTATTGAATCCACTAACTTCAGGCCAGGTTGGGCAATTTAAATTTAAGCTGTGATGGAATTTAATCAGAATTTTTCTTTACATAAAGAGTAAACTGGCACAATGCAGGGACCCAAGATCTGGATGAAAGATGGAGAAGTGAGGGAGCGTATGGAGGGGTGGCACTGCCCTGGATGGCAGACCCAGCAGAAGCTGGAAGAGGGACCCAAAGGAAGGAAGGAACTGAACAGAAGTGGCCACAGGGCAGTTGGGGTAGGTCCTGAATGTGCTAGACAGCTTTGTGTCACTGTGACAGAATACCTGAGGAAAAAATACAAGAAAGGAAGGACTTTTGATGATTGGTGGTTCCCTGCCAGCTGGCTCCATCGCTTCTTAGACTGTAGTGAGGGAGAAGAGCACAGTAGAACAGTATGGCAGAGCCACATTGCTCACTTCACGGCAGCCTGGAAGCAAGGAGAGAGGAGCTGGAAACAAAGCATGTCCTGCAAGGGCATGCTCCCAATGATCTTCTTCCTGAAATAGGCTCTGCCTCCTGATAGCCCGTTCAGATCATTGATGGTGAATTTATCAATGGATTCATTAATGGATAAATTTACATCCTTCACATCTAATCACTGCTCAGTGACACTGCCAACTGGAGCCCAGCCTTCGGCACTTGCCTTTAAGGATGTTTTTAAACCCAAACCGTAACAGTTAATTAGTAGTCCAATTATTTTTTCAATGTTCTTGATTTATAATTCAATTAAACGTTTTCCCATTTCCCCTTAAGGAGATAACCTGGCAGAGGCACCCGCTCTTATTGAGATCCAAATTTCATATGAGTAAATACAATGCAGGTACTATAGCTGCATGGAGGGTGGTAGATTTCTTCATAAAGACTGGGAAATTATGGGTTTTCTACCAAGTAAATCTTTCTGAGGGAAGGCAAAAATGGGATTATCCAGCAGCATGAATATTAGCAGGCATCAGCATTATTGTTTTACACTGTAGTGTACCTAATTACGAGCACTCCTCGGATTTGTAGTGTTCACTGGGGCTTGTATTTCAAATGTGTTTCATTTACTGCCTTGAGACATATGCCCCAGCTTGTTTGGGATCATTTACATGCTTGGTAATTCTCTTCTTCCTCTGTTGACATCTGGAGAAATCCATTCTAATTCTTTCTGGCATGTTGTCTTCACTGTGAACAATCAGAGCAGCTTTGCTAAAAGACACTTAGTGCTTATTTACTGGATAAATATTTGTATTTTCTGCATAATTTGCAGCATGGTTTTCCGGCAATGGAAAGCTTTAAGGGGAAACACACACAGAAGAACTCAAGGGAATCTAATACATTATGATAAAACTAACATGGAAACCTGTCAAGGCTGCTGATTTAAAAATTATTCAACTATTTTGTCAATTTCTTAAGAGGTATCAATTAAGTTTCTGCTTACAGTTAGGCACTAAAAACCACCATTGTATACAATTCTGCATCCCTTTCCCAAGAAACTTACTGCCCAGACCCAATCTAGATAAATAAAAGCAATGAGCTATAGACTAACTGTGGTCATCATGGGGAGAATTAAGGGAGCATAATCTTCCAGGGAAGGTTACAATCCAAGCAGATTTTTGCTTTGTTGTATTTACATCTATCTACTCAACTGTCATTTTGAAATTTTCCCTCTTTACTTCCTGGTATGGTTTGAATGCATTAGAAAATTGATGCTCAAACTTATGATGATAGCCCTCATGAATAGACTAGCTCTTTCATGGATTGTAGAGAGAAGTTTATTTATTTATTTTTAATCAGAAAAGCAGGTGCTTTCTGCCATGCTTTCTCTATCATATGATGAGATTTGCCATTTCAGGACCCAGCAAGAAGATCCTTGCCAGACACTAATGATGATGACATTATGCCCTTGAATTTATAAATCTCTAGAGTTACCAACTAAATAAATATGTATTTATTCTTTATGGGTTTATGGTATGCAGCTACAATAACAGAACAGATACTGTCCTACATATTTAGCAGAGCAATTAGAAAACACATAAATGTCTATTGATAAAGATTAATTAATACTTTAAAGTTTATTACACTTACTTGTTTGTATTTGTGTGTATGTAGACGTGTGTGTAGACATGAATGCCATGGTGTATGTGGAGGTTAGAGAACAACTTGGCAGAAGTAGAGTCTCTCCTTCTACCATGTGAGTCCCAGAGATCAAACTCAGGCTGTCACTTGTCAGGGTTGGCAGCAAGTACCTTTAGCAAATACTGAGCAATCGTGCTGGCTGCAAAAGAATTGTTAATAATAATGATTGAGGTTTTATATGTATCAAGCAATGTGCCAACTCTTAGAAACACCCTAGATTTTCTAAGACAGAAGATAAAGACAAATAAGTGTGACAATTTTTTTAAAGGTATTTGATGGAAAATAAGAGACATGCAGCCGGGCGGTGGTGGCGCACGCCTTTAATCCCAGCACTCGGGAGGCAGAGCCAGGCGGATCTCTGTGAGTTCGAGGCCAGCCTGGACTACCAAGTGAGTTCCAGGAAAGGCGCAAAGCTACACAGACAAACCCTGTCTCGAAAAACCAAAAAAAAAAAAAAAAAAAAAAAAAAGAGACATGCACTCAAGGTCACTTTAATGGGGGCTTAAATAGGAGGAGTTGGTTAAGAGTTTGTTGAATTTGTATATAGGAGGGTTACTGAATTTTTTGAGTTGATCTTGTATCCTGCTATGCTGCTGAAGGTGTTTATAAGCTGTATCAGTTCCTTGGTTGAATCTTTGGGGTCACTCAAGTATGCTATCATGTCATCTGCAGGCACCAAAACCAAGAGCTGGATCTAAGTCTCACTAGGAAAGCTACCTCTCTCTTTCCTTCCTTGCTCTCATATATTGCTTCTTCTCAGTCTTATGACTTTTTCTTTACTGATACCTTTGCTGATTAGGACACATGTAAAAGTGGTAGTTACACTAGAGTGCCAGTCTCAACCTTCAAGTTTATATCACTCCATTCAAGCAGAATGCAGACTGAGAGTGGCCCCTAAGTTCCAAATCCACACCCTAGGACACATTCTGATTGTCCATTTGGAACATGTACTCAAGTATGATCTAATCATCTGCGTCTAGACACACGGGCCTCATTACAGACATAGCTATGTCTGGCTTGTGCCTAGGAATGAGGCCAGACACTTGTCAGAGAAAGGGCAAGCTTCTTGGCAATCTAAGTTGTGCCAAATAAAAGTGGATAACAATGTGATAAATACAGAAACAGTAGAACATGGTGATTCACTGAATATGGACATGGCAGGGAAGGAAGAATCAGAGGTGATGCCAAGGGTTCTATCTTTGGGGAATCAGAAAATCAAGGTCAAGGAAGGGACTCTTGGATTCAAGTACTAGGAAATGATGGAGAGAAGGAGTCTGTGTCAGAAAGTTTAGAGCAAAAGTATTTCCCAGTATAGAGCACTCATGTCGAAAGCATCTACTCTGGACATGAGATGGGGGTTTGGGTTCTGTGAGTCCACGCCTTCCATTACTTAGTCTGCTTCCAGCCTCTCTAATTCTGACCTTACTGTACCAGCACCCCATTCGATAGTGGATGGAGATTTCTTCATAAAAATTCTCTATAATATAACCATAATTCAAGATGAAGGAATTCATCTTTAGGCTAACTTTAGACTGACTCATTTGCCTGGTAATTCAGTCTTGCCAAGAATTTCTTGATCCAGTGAACATTTTCATTCATTCCTGCTTCATGCCATCACCCCAACCTGCTTCCCACTTCCAGCCTTTGCTTTCTCTCTACTGCTTTTGGCATTTGCTTGCTGCCTCTGTAAACTATTTGATCCAGATAATCATCTCCGAAAGGACACTCACATTTTTATGGTTTTATACTCATACTGAAAATGTATCTGAATACCTTCTCTACTTTGTCACCTCATTCTGTGTATGATATTTGGTACATCTAGAGGCACTAGATTCTACCCTCCATTCATATCAAGAGTCCTAGTGTTTGCAACTTGACGTTTGTCAGTTTTGTCCATTTATGCCACTTGCCAAGGTCAGAACTCTGTGGCTCAAGGTTGTGGTTTAACTTCTACCAGCCTCAAGGACTTTTGTCATTTTAGAGACATTTTCTCCACAAAATTATTAAAATTTAGTCAGTATAAAGACAAATAAAAGCTGGGCTATGATTGTTATTATATGTCATCACTATTTTATTTATATTTTCTTCTGATATTTAAAGGAATTGATATGTTCGCACAGGTTCCTGAAAGCACTGTTGATCCTAGGCAATGAACCGTCAATGCTTATGGAGAACCTGGCTTTGTTGAAGTGTTATCTTCTTGAGTACAGTTGTGGCATGGCACAGACATAGAAGAAGCATTCTTTGGTCTGTCTATTATGGATGGTTTATCATTTTAGAACAAGTGCCTCATTTCTACTTTTTCTCCCCACTTCTTTTTGTAGAACGAATCCTTTCACATGATCTATAGCCTTACATTTTCTTCCTGCCCCCAGTGGATATTTTAAGAATGATGGATCTGTCTGAGTTTGGAGATGCTGCAGCCTTTCTCAGAAGAAGTAAGGATGATACTCTGTTAGAGTCCCCAGCCTTTGATGGTAAGACTTTGTGGAAACTGCTGGCTTGAGTTCATATTATCACTTTTTTTTTTTTTGGTTTTTTTGAGACAGGGTTTCTCTGTGTAGCTTTGCGCCTTTCCTGGAACTCACTTTGGAGACCAGGCTGGCCTCGAACTCACAAAGATCCGCCTGCCTCTGCCTCCCGAGTGCTGGGATTAAAGGCGTGCGCCACCACCGCCCGGCCATATTATCACTTTAAGTGGCATAACTATTTACTTGATTGCAATGACCCATTGGTTCTGGAGACTAACGTATTTGAATGGTGTGCAAGCAGATGCTATGAATCTTTGAACAATTGAAGACATCAAGTGTCCAAGCCAGTAATAGAAATTCCCAAGAGAAAGAGGGTGCCTGGGAGGAATCCCAGTCCCATATCCCATTTATGAAGCTCTCAGACTAGTATTCTCTTCTAGGAGTTGCCTTAGGTCAAGACTTTCTTAGAAACCTCTGAATTGTCAGCGAACACATATTTTAGCAGGGCTAGGACTGTGACTTGGCTCTGCAAACTGTGAAAAAGAAGGAAGAAAATGATGGAGGCTGAGAGGCTGGAGGTGAGAGTTGGTCTCTGGCTGTCTTCAGACATTCCTGCTGTTGGAACCTGGCCCTTTGGCACAGGTCAGCAGGGTTTCTCAGCCAAACTAAAAGAAAGATCATTTAGGAGACTGACACTGAGATTCACAATTTCTTTGTGCTTCAGGCGAAGCCAAAGGTTAATGAGGATTTAGCTTCGAGAAAAAAAAAGGGCCAAGTTCTACATTAAAAATTCCAAGTAAATGTAACCTTTGCCCCCATTCTTTTTTATATATCTGGGCTGCATGACCATTCTCTACATTTCAGCTAGTTAGAGATTTGGAAATCAGATTCACAGTGTGGTTTGACATCAGGTCACCTACATGTCTTAATTCCAAAATTACTTAACAGTGCACAATAAAAACTGAACATTGTTCTGGCACCCAGAATTAGTCAATGTTAGACTTCAATGTGACCAGTTATAATTTAAGCCAATTATGAAGGAAATTGTATTTCCGTCACAGACCCACCAGTCCTGGATCAGCTCCCAGTTTCCCATCCTTGTATTTCATTAGTGTGATTGTATTTCAGAGTAACTAATTATAATCCTTCAAATCAGAAACAATAACAGAACAATCCCCCAAAGCAGAGTGGCCATGAAGAGGCCTATCACAAGCAGTGAGGTAACGAAGACAAGATGGTGATAGTGGTACCAGAGAGGAAAATCAAAATTGGACCAGTATAGTAGAGAGAACTGGATCATTCATTTCATAGAGTCAACACTATAAATGGTTGCTTAAAACAGAGTGATCAACATAGTCTTAAATAATTTTATTAACATACAACCCTTCTTTATGGATATTCACTGGCAGCAAAAAGATGAAAAATCACCAAAAGTTGTCTATCTCGCTGGGCTAGGTAACAGTAGAGTTTGTGTATAGAACTCAGGCCAAATGGAAACAGTTTGACTATGAGTGTAGCCAACAGTTTTGGCTTCCAGTTCCCTGTTCTTGATCATCTATTTTATATTAGACTAAAGCACCTCATCTTACTGAGCCTTCTTTCACTCACCTGCCAAAGTTAGATGAACAAAAAAACACTTGCCCTGCCTACCTTCCTTCATTGTTTTTTTTTTTTTTTTTTTTTTCCGAGACAGGGTTTCTCTGTGTAGCTTTGCACCTTTTCCTGGAACTCACTCGGTAGCCCAGGCTGGCCTCGAACTCACAGAGATCCGCCTGGCTCTGCCTCCTGAGTGCTGGGATTAAAGGCGTGCACCACCACCGCCCGGCTTCATTGTTATTAGGACCAAATAATGCTATCAGTTTGAAAATAAGTGTAGTGTAGTATAATGATATCCAGAAAAGAAACCTAGAACTGCTGGGTGCCAGGGAGGAAGACCAGTAGTTTTAGAGGTAAATATAAGAAGAAAATCACTCCAAAACCAAATAAATGACTTTGTACTACAAGAGATTAAGTATCTATTTAATAAGACTACAAGTTTGAATATAGTTTAACCCCAATTTTATCTCATACCACAGAACAGAGCCTCATAAGAAATGGTACAGAGAAACAACACTGGTCACTTTTAAGCTTGTTTGTGATTGGTTTTAATGTTTTACATCTTTTTATACATCTCAAAATGCTGACCCTCTTCATATCATATGAGATATTTAATTAGAGTTGGTTAGCTTACAGGAAATGATATAGGGAAAATATCCTTCACTTATACATTTGAAAGCATTGCTTGACAGCTTACTCACCAGGACGGTGCTGAATTCTAGATGACCCAATTCAAATGCCGTGCTATCTGCATTCACAGCTCTGCATTATTTATGACTAAAAGGAATTAAAGGTTGACTTATTTCATCTACTTTATCTTTTAAAGAAAAGATGCTGTCATGGACTGGGTCTCAGGGAAAGGTTTCTGAAAATTCTTCACTCCTGCTCTTTCCGGGGTTGTTGAAACAAAGAGCTCATCATGGGGCAGGAGGTGAGCCCTCCTTGAGAGAAGCTCCAGAGAGAGAGAGAGAAAAGTAGCTAAGCACTTGCTAAAGGAAGCATGAGATAATGGAGGAAAACTAATTTAGGAGGAGGGTAATTTGATTTCTAGAGTCATTATTCTAATTACTGCTAATAATTAGCTATGCCACTATTGGCACTGTGGGCAAGTCTTATCCTTCTTCAGAGATAGATAGAGACAGAGATAGATAGAGACAGAGATAGATAGAGATATATATAGAGAGATAGAGATAGAGAGATAGAGAGAGAGAGAGAGAGAGAGGGTAAGGGAGAAAGAAGAGAGGGAGGGAAAATCATCAAATTTCTTTCAAGTGGTAATATATTTTGAAATGCACAGCCTTTATGTGCTAAACAGATACTTTTCAGAATCAAATGTATTTTCATACACTAACATAAAAACATGGTTGTTTGCATAAAAGGGACCAAAATAATAAGTACAACACAAAACCAGCATTAAAAAGCATAAACAAGTAGAAAGGCAATGAAAACTGAGTTACAAAGGATTATCACATCTGCTTACAAAGCAATTTTCAGGGGAAGTTGCTTGTAATTAGGGAAAGGGAGAAAGCAGTGCATTGTAGATTGCCATGGCAAGAAAATAGTGAGCAACAAAGTTCTATGCAGAGACAAGAATGATGGTAGAAGAGAATGATACCCAATTAATTGCCTCTTTTTATACACATTCATCCCCATAACCTGCAGCTCACCTTTAGGGGAAGCATCTGGTGAGGGCCACATATCTGAAGAAATGAAATATCTGAAACTTTTGTAACTCATATACTAGAGATGTTGGTGGTAACCTAGTTGTCATTCCCCTTAGTCAGAGTTGAATGGGGTTCTCATCAATGCTCTCCCCTCACCCTTTTTCTTTTTGGGTGAGAACTCTTGTAGTATGCTAAAACTGATTTTCTTTGAAGAGCATATTTCCTATTCATCTTAAATGGTTACTTACCTTGGGTGGAAGAGAATTAGTTAAGTATTTAAATGAACCTAGAGAGGTATTCTCATGTATTCACAGGACTTCTAACTTACTTTACCTGAAAGTATTTCATGGGTTAATTACTTTTGTAGAAGACTTCTTCACTTAGGGATAAGGCATTGAGTGAGGGGACAGAAGAAGGAAAATTAATATATGACAATAAACATGAGTCAATTTTATTATATAACAAAATAATGGATATTCTCCTATCTCTTCTTCAATTTAGCATGTCTTTCTCTTATTGGACTTTCATTCAAAGATTAAAACATCATGTATAGAAATCTTAAGGGAGAAGTCCATTAACACACAGATTTACACAGTTGTAACCAGATAATTTTTGAGTGAGTTTATTTGAGGGGACCTGGGAAAGAGTGAGATGATCAGGAGCCTATCCAAGGGTCCAGTGTTGTGCAGTATAGGATGGGGTAGGTGAGTTAGGTAGAGTTTTCTTATAATATAGTGATATTGGCAGACCTCTGCTTGCTGAGAATTTTCTTGTTCCTTTACAAATATGCATGGGCAAGCAGTCATGGTTAGCATTTATGTTTTTATAGAACTTCCTGACTTCTTATATTGATGACTCTGAGACTTAGCAGAAACAAAACTGCATCAGAATGAAAATGTCCAGTGGAGATTCCCTTAAATACTGTAGTTATAACCTATATTTCCTCTCTAGGGAAGAAGAAATGCTGGGTTCACGATGGGAAGAATGTTTATATCGAGGCTGAGGTTATAGAGAGTGACGGTGATGGAAAAGTACTTGTAGAAACTAGAGATGGAGAGGTAAAGAAGGCCTTATTCTTTCTGGGGTTGTCTGTGTTACTGTCTAGTCCATCCACTAAGTCTATAGACAAAAGAGTGTGATGATATGCATAGGGGAAATAGAGAAATAGATATCTATGTATGTGACAAGAGCTCTCTATGTGGTACTGACTGTCCTAGAACTCACTATGTAGACAAGGCTGGCCTTGAACTCACAGAGAATCCTCTTGCCTTTGCCATCCCAGTTCTGGCATTAAAGACATGTGCCACCAAACTGGGCTAAAATATATCTTTTATTTTCTTGTTCTTGGCAGAGTCTGAGAATTAAGGAGGACAATATCCAACAGATGAACCCTGCAGAGTTTGAAATGGTTGAAGATCTGTCAATGCTGCTTCACCTCAATGAGGCATCTGTGCTTCACACCCTGAGGAGACGTTATGACCATTGGATGATCTATGTGTGTATATAGACCTTACCAGGAAAATCTCATTTGGAACTCATATTGGCTATGCCCCCAACCTCTCCTGGTGATATTTACATTTAGTTCACATAGCCTCATATGAACATCCACTGGGAAGTAACGATCTCAATATTTCTTTAATTTTATCTTGTCAGCATGCATGTCATTTCCCGCAGAATGCCATACTACACCTAAGTATGAAGCTTAGAACCCGAATAGAAAGAGTCCAAATACCAGCTCAATTACTTATTAGTTAAGGTTATCTATGCCATTAAAAATATATCTGGAGGAAAATGTATTTGAGATGTTGCACTTCCAACCCAGTTTTGTGTAAAGATAAATCCAGGACATGCTTGCACTAATGTGTATGCAACACTTACATGCACAAACACAAGTAGGCTGGCATTAGAAATGGATAAACATATAGTCCCATGCACACATTCCTGTCTGTGTAGAGAAAGATAAGCAGTCATTGGGCATTTCCATGGCAACCTGTATCAGCATTTTCAGGAAAGAAGAGTCGAGGCTCTCATGTCTGTGTGTTTATGTTCATAACTGTCGCCATGATTGTCAGATAGTTTATGTATCATTTTAGAACTAGACTGTGTGCTCTTTGGAGAAATGCTTGATTTTCCTATCAAATGCTCAATGAACACTTAAGTAATGAATCAGTTAATGAAACAGATTAAAAAACTGGCCATGGTGGTGCATGTCTTTAATCCTAGTACTCAGGAGGTAAAGGTCAGTGGATCTCTGTGAATTTGAGGCCACCCTGGTCTACATAGTGAATTCCCAGACAGCTAGTGCTATGTAGAGAGACCCTTTCTCAACAAATAAACAAACAAACTATAAATATTTCACTTATGGGCTAGAAATACTGCTAAGTCCAGATTTAGATAGAAATTTGCTAAAAATGGACTAGAATTTATATTTCCTGTGTGTATACCAACTGCTTTATGCATAGAGTTCCAAGAGTAGCTTAAGGCTATTCCTGGCACTGTGAAAGACACTTCTATTGGAGGACAACATAGTAAGCCCATAGGAGAAGATGGGGCTATCTGCTTTTATGACACCTAGTCCATGTTGCTGAGAAAGCAGTCTGTGCAGTCCCAGGTGAAGATGGCTTTCTCCTTTCCCCACATGTCCCCTGTCTTGTTGAACTCCATGATGTTACCTTTCTATAAAGTGTGATAGTAATGTCTGACTCTCTACATAAGTTAGAGGATTAAATTTTAAAAAACAAGTAGAACAGATAATTCAGTGTCTGTCACCAAACTAGCATTTGAGAAACCAACTGATTTTTCCACAGTCATTAAGCTCCTGATGGTTAGTTCCTCCTCTTTCTTCTAAACCTATGCATTAGAAGCAGTACGGAGATTAGGCTCAGATAGTGGCAGTAGGGATCCATTATCATCAAGACTGTGACATACAACCACCCTAGTCTTCAACTTTTGACTTACTAGGTAACTGTTTTAGTTTCTCTAAAGATTTGTCTCTCAACAAAATTGCCACTGAATGGGTAGTTTAAAAGAACCCTCATCCATATACAGTACTGAAGAACATTAGTCTTCAATGAAGTAAAACCGGCGGGGTCTTACTTCTTGTGGAGGCTCTGGAAGAAAAGGCTTCCACCTCTTTGCTGGCTTCTTAGTGCTGCTGGTGTTCCTTGTGGTGGTTTCACCTCAATCTCTTTGCAAGAGTTACATGTGGGGGCTCCAGAAATGGCTCAGCACTTTAGAACACTTGAAGATTTTGCAGAGGAACCAGGTTTGGATCCCAGTAACACCATGGAGGTTTACAGCAGTCTATAACTCCAGCTTCCAGGGATCCAGTGTCCTCTTCAGGCCTCTGCTGGCACCACGCTCATATACGTGCACATGCATGCATGCATGCATGCATGCAGGCAAATGCTCATGCACATAAAAATAAAAATAAATATTTTTTTTAAAAAGACATGTGTCAGATATTTTAGCAGTTATTGTATCTCCCAGAGACTGAGAGGTAATCCCAGGTCTTAACGCTGGCCTAACCCAGATCTGTCCGCTTCTCTTAGAAGTCCCTTCTCCACAGGAATTCATCTCTCCTTTTCCATGTTCCCTTATAAGTAACTATTCAACTAGCCTTACCTGACAGGGGAAGCCCTGACAAATCTGGGAGCGCAGCTAGTCTATTTTCTAATCCACTCTGATCTCTCCTCAGACGTATTCAGGCCTCTTCTGCGTGGCTATAAACCCTTACAAGTGGCTTCCAGTGTATCAGAAAGAGGTCATGGCTGCCTATCACAGGAAGAGGCGATCCAAGGCTCCCCCTCACATCTTTGCTGTCGCCAATAGTGCCCTTCAGGAGATGCTCTGCAGTAAGTAGCTGCCCTACAAAATGAAAAAGGAAATTTTCCCATCCACGTTTTCTCTAAGTCACCAAAGGACACGTAGGCATTGTGAGGAGAGCATGGCTTCACAGTTGTCTCATCTCTTGATGCCTCTGTTTCCTTCCAGATAAAATGCGGGCAACGTTGTACAGGTCTCCTATGGTTACAGAGACAATTAGTTTGTGCTTCAGAGTGAAAGAATCCATTTGTAGTGCTGGGGCTGGAGGCTGGCCCAGATAATGCCCCCTGTATGTGTCTGCTCTTATTACTCAAGCGTATGCTATACTGCATGACACAAAGAAGCTAGTCTGTAACTATTATTATGCAATGATTCTCAAAAGACTAAAAATGTCAACCATTAGTTAGTTACTCTTTCTATTTAAAGCAAGGAAATAGGCCTAGAATTTACATGTGCATGTTACTGGTAAAGATAAAGATATCTGTTTTATACTGTATCTTTTAAGTGAGGGGTTTGCAAGTGTAGATGAAACAACTCTTTCTCCTTGTTTCTAAGTTGAAACTATAGGTACAAATATTGTGAATAAGTTCATTCCAGTACATAAGCTTCAATCACAAGAATATCCTAGCAGTTTCTTTTCTCTCTCTCTCTCTCTCTCTCTCTCTTTCTTTCTTACTCACGTCTTTCTTTTTTTTTTTTGTAGGTGGAGAGAATCAGTCCATACTCTTCACGTAAGTGTTTGTCTCATTTTATTTTTTCCCTCCGTGAAGTTTCAGTGGAAAATAGACACTTACATTTCATTGAGAGTAGAACTTAAATTTGTTACCTTTGACTTGTTTAATCTTCAGATACAAAATGCATTTCAGGTAGGAAAAGATATTCTGCAAGTAGTCATAACATTTCAGTGAGTTCTGTAAATATAGTTTAAGGAAATCTGCCACCATCATTTAAAGAGACTCCTTCCTTAAAACTATATTATGTAAGCAGGTTTAGTTCCTTCTCAGGGAAGGGGCTTCCAGTCTAGCAAATGATCAACTTCAAAGTTCTCTATGCTGGCTAATTAACCAGAGAAGCTCTATTAACATCCATAGAGTATGCCCATGAAACAGATAACTTGCTGCTTTGAGTAGCCATGGCACAGTACATATAGTAATACATAGCGTGCCTTTGGAGATACCAAAAAAGGGCAAACAGGATCTCAGAATGCCTTATTGAAGATTCATTTTGATGGAAAGAGCACTGGGTGGGCATGCTAGTGTGAGCAGGTGGCTGAGACCCAAGGGGTTATGACGTGCTCAATCTGTGGTCTTCCTTTGCAATGATGATGACATGTTGTGTAGTTGACCCTCTGTTGGTTTCTGTTATCTTAAAAGGGATCATAGGTTTTAGAATTGTAGAGCTAAGTGGCTAGTTCAAATTCAAATCTATGCTCTTTGCAAATAGCATGGACTGGCTTCTGAATTTCATGTACCTAAAGGCAGGGTTGGGGAAATGTATTTGATTATCAAAGGGAAAGGAGAAAACCAAAGCACAGCTTTCTGGTGAAAAAATTGGCAGGTCATTTTCTAAGATAAAGGTTGGATATGATCAGAATTAGCTAACTTTCATGACATTGATCATCAGAACCAGTTAACCATTTTTCTCCACTTCAAATCACAGAGGAGAATCTGGTGCTGGAAAGACAGTGAACACCAAACTGACAATTCAGTATTTTGCCACTGTGGCAGCTGTAAGTGAGACCGAGAAAAAGCCGGTGAGTGTCTATAACATCATGAACAGTGAGGTTGCCTCATCTACTGAGACATGGAGACTTTTCTTTGACAAGCTATGGGGAATGAGGAGGAGGAGAGAACCATAGAACAATTAGCAAAACTGTAGTACTTACTTTTCTCATTTGGTGACAAAATATCTGATACTGAAATTTAAGAAAGGAAGGGCTTATCATGGCATTCCATTTGAGGATATATACAGTCCAGCATGATGCAGAAGCAACAGAGGCAGGAGCAGGAGGCTGGCTAGTCACATTGTGTCATTGTAGCCATATTCAGAAACCAGGAAACCAACAGGAAGTGGAGCCAAGCTAAGACTATCAAACATTAAGGTCACCAGTGGTTCAGATTGATCAGGAAAGCTCTACCTCCCAAAGGGTCTACAGGAGTGCCACCAGCCTGGGATCAAGTTTTTAAACACGTGAGCCTACAGGGACATTTCACCTTTACACCACCACAAAAATATTGAAACGTCTTGTTTTTCATCTTTTCTTTACTGCCTGAGAGGATCATCAGAGCATTCTAAATCAAACCAAAAGCGTGCATCACATACTTTTAGATATCCTTCCAAGAACGTTTGGTTGGCCCTTCTGATCAACATACCTTCAGGATACAAACCTTCTTGTACCAAGTCACCACAACCTTTAATGTTCTCTTCTGATATTTCTAAATCTCTTTAGCTACAATGTTATGTCAGATACCTACACACACACACACACACACACACACACACACACACACACACACACACACACACACAATGGCTTCCTTTGCTCTGAACTCCTTTATTAGATCCCATGCCCAACAGAAAAACCCTTAACTTTAACCATGCAACGTTTTCTATAAATGTTACCTTCTTTATTATTTTTTTTAAACCATGGTCTCTTGATTTCATTTCTTGATTTTGTAATAAAAGACCTTCACTAAAGTAACTTAAGGGAGAAAGGGCTTATTTGGCTCATAATTCTAGGTTATTTCAAATAATTATAGTTATTTCAAAGAAGGTGGCAGGCACATGAATTTGCTAGTCATGTGACATACATTGTCAAGAAAACAGTGAATTAATGTATGTATGCTAATGCTCTACTCACTCCCACCTTTCTGTGCAGTTCATGATCTAGTCCATGAAATGGTGCTACTTACATGCAAGGTGGGTCTTCCCATCTCAATAACGCAGCTTAGGAAAATCAAACTAATCTAGACAATCACTCATTTAAACTGCCTTTCAAGGTAGTTCTAGGTTGCATTAGGTGAATAGTTAAAATCAGCCATCACACTTGATAACTTTTAATTCATCTTTAGCTGTAAAGTGAGCATTCATAGTAACTTGGAAGTCATTCTTCCATGCAAAGTAAAATTAGGTAGTGTTAAGTGGTATTCTCAGAACAATTTGTAACCACACGAAACTGTTAACACCTCTCATCAGTCCGTGTCTGATATTGTCACTTTGTATTTTCAATTCAATGCTGGGTATCACCAGCTGTTTCTGCTGTAACAAGTAGGAACTATATCAAAATATAGACTCACTTTGCTCAGATTTTAAACTATAAAACATTTGCATTCCCATCACCTCATCCCTGAAATTGGTTGATACCTGCAAGCATCCTTGAACTCTGTTTTTTTCCTACATACAATTGTTTCAGTGTGCATTTTAGTTTTGTTGTTGTTTGGTGTGGACTAATTGGTTTTATTATAAGACTCTTAATTGAGTCTTATGATGTTACATAATGTAACATGACAACACAACTTAACATGTACAACAGGTCTATGGAATCCTTGCTTATATAGCCTTTTATAATTCTTTGGAAGACAATAGATACATATTATTGAGATCAAAACAATATGTATACATTGTATATTCTTGAGCACCATATACTATATAATTAAACCTATGAAGCAGGTCTTTGAGGGTGAATTTCTAAAAACAATGCAGCTCTGAATTGATGTGGAAGCAGCTGATCTTTCAGAATTATTCTGTGTAAACAGACCTTATACTTGAATAGGCAAAATTCAAATTCAAGATCAATACTATTACTAGCCACTGCTTGGTGTAACAACCCTCTAGATTACCTAGAAATAGTGTAAGGAAAATATAAATTAATAATGGCAAGAAACTAATTTATTATCCTAAGACAAATTTTTAGTTCTTTTCTGTTTGTTAATAAACATTTTCTTTATTCACTCGGACTCAAACAAAAACATTACAAACTAATGACCGCCTAAATATTTTCTTAGGAGAAAATATATGAAATTGCTATCTTTCATCCTTCCATTTTTCAGAATCTCAGTTTCCAAATAGTGTTTTATCACACTTGAAAACTATAGGCCACTAGTTACTGCGGCAGCAATGAAGCTACTTTTGGGGAGTTCGCTTCAGTGTAAAATCCTGTTAAACTTTATTCAGCTATGCTTCTCTTCCGTGCTTTTAGGGGATTTCAGAAGATCAAATTGTACAAACGAATCCTGTCTTAGAAGCATTTGGAAATGCCAAAACTCTGAGAAATGACAACTCTTCTCGTTTTGTAAGTGGTGCAATAACATCTCAGAACCTATCATTTTTAGGCTATTATAAAATTCGTGTCTGAGCACATTGGTAAGAGAATTCTAGAACAAGGTTTTTGATCAAATTCTATCATGTTGTGACATTTCTCGAAAGAGTTTTACCAGATATGGCTGAGACAATTAAAACTGCTTGTGTCTATGTATTTTCTATTTGGAAGAGTCCATTCATAAGGGAAGTAGTTATCTTAACACACATTTCTTTACCTTCATTGTAGGGCAGCTCATCCAGCAAGGTATCATAAGGCTTCCTGTATTCTTATATTTTAGAGATTTGAAAATGTTTCTCCTTAATTTCCTATATACTGAAGTCAATTTAGTAGATACTTCCTAATTCTCTTAATTATTCTCTCTGCTCTTGTTTATGAACTCCTTTTCCTGCATATTTAATGGGAATTTTTTTATATATATTGAACAAGGTACTTCAATGTGGTTTTTTGATAACTAGAAATCCCATGATGAAGGAAAACATTTGGATTTAGAAATCAAGCTTTGTAAGTCAATTTTGTTCCAAGAATGAGGGGCAGGGAGCCCCTGTAAAAGTTAAAGAAAACTGAAGAAAGCTTCATGTTTGAATATCTAAGCATAACTAAATAATAGACTCAGGCTAATTGCCTAGTTTCTGACCAAAGTCTAGTGATGCGACATTCCTGTTTATATTGATTTGAACACACTTGTACATTAAACAATTGCTATCTTGAAGATTTGTTAAAATATTGGTGCATGTTTTATGAAATATGAAAGAGGAATGTAGAAAAGAGAAGAAAAGAGAAAAATGTAAAGGGAAGAGTAAGGTCTGGGGACATAGCTAAGTGGTGAATTGCCTAGCATGTGTGAAATCCCAGGATGAGTCCCCAAGAGAGAGACAGAGAGTGAGACACAGAAAGAGGGAGAATAAGAAAGGAAATAAAATGAAAGAAAGAGAAGGGGAGAGGAGAGGAGGAAATTAAAGAAAGAATAAGAAGCAGAGATGAAGACAGATAAAGTTGGAGGGATAGACAGGAAGAAGCAGACAAAAGTAAAGGATTTTGATAAATGGAAGGAAAAAGACAAAAACAACCCACCAAAAATCCAACAAAAATTAAAAAATTGAGGTAGGTTTTAAGAATTATTACTAGGTATGCATGCATCTATACTAGTTTCCCACATAAATGTGTGCATATAGGCATGTGTGTGTGTGTGTGTGTGTGTGTGTGTGTGTGTGCGTGCGCGTGCGTGTGTGTACACATAGGCATGTGTATGATTGTCTGTGTAGCTGCCATTGTTCTCTGCTTTCTAATAAACTAGCTCAGTCCCCTGTTGTGGCCACTCTTCTTCCCCTGCTGGAATGATGTTTTGCTGTGGTGCTTCCTGGCACAGGAGGACCTCACCAACCCATTTTTTACTCCCACATTCTCATCCTATAAACTGGCTGCCACTGTATCTGGCATTCTGACATAGGTACTGTCAGCACTAAGCAGCCTTTATGCCTTGCTGGTTTCTCCTTTTAGGTTTCAATTAAGAAAGAAGAAAGTGGAAAATCACAGTGTATTTTGAGACATAAGCCCCACACAAGCCCCTTGGTCTACTGAGCACACATGAAACGAACCCCTAGCCTTTTGTCTATCTCTCAGTCTTGGTTTATGTTCCCTTTTCTCTTACTTCCTAAACTACAGCAAAAGGGGCTTTTCTTTTGATTTCAAAATACTTCAAATGTCCCTTTGTTAGAGCTCTTGAGTAGCCATGTACCATCTATAACATTTCACAACTGTCGGAACCATGTTTATTCTTCTTATTAGGTGTCTAATTCCTCAGGAGTTCCTTAGATCATGGTGGATAGTCACTGAATACTGGATGAGTGAGTGAGCATGCTGAGAAGATTCTGCATTCCTCCTTTTCAAATAAGAGCACTGAAGTTCACACAGTTTCTACAGTGCACATGAAAACACACAGGCAGAAACTGGCAGATGTGGGCCTGGACACAGTCAGGACTGCTGTAGTTTTAGTAATCAGTTGCAGCTCCCTCTAGACCAGTGGTTCTCAACCTTCCTAATGCTGTGACCCTTTAATATAGTTCCTCATGTTATAGTGACCTCCTCAAACATAAACTTATTTTCATTGCTACTTCATAACTGTATTTTTCTACGTTATGAATTGTAATGTTAATATCTGATATACAGGATATTTGATATGTGACCTCCGTGAGGGGGTCATTCAACCCCAAAAGGATTGTAACTCACGGGTTGAAAACTGCTGCTCTAGACATTATCTTATCCTTCTCATCTCAATACCATCTTACATTTCATTTTTCAATCTTTGGAGTATATAGTCACTTTGAGGATGATGTAATCAATGAAGCCTTTGCAATTGTTCAGAAAGTTTGGATGGGACACTGCGTTCTGTTTCTACCTAGGGAAAACTCATCAGGATGCATTTTGGTGCAAGAGGCACACTGTCATCTGCAGATATCCAGATCTGTAAGTAACCATTGCACTATCTGGCTGGTTTCCTCTAGGTTTTGTAAGACTGTTCAAGCATGAATCTTTATTCGTTCTTGATCCTTCTAGATTTTCTAGAAAAATCCCGGGTGGTTTATCAGCAGCCTGGAGAGAGGAACTACCATATCTTTTATCAGATTCTGTCTGGAAAACAAGAACTTCAGGGTAAGTGTTAGACTGGAGCCCACACGTACTCTAGAAAAAGGACAAACAGATACCAAGGGAGAGAGAGTACTGTTTTAGTAAGTTTCAGTAGTTTTAGATCACAGTTTATTCATCCTACAGTAGGAAACTTAGGCACTTATAGAACCAATGGGGGTAGAATAAATGGCAACATTTTTTTTTTAATTTGGCATTAAAAGCAAGAAGAGAATTTGCAGTGAATAAAATGCCTTTGCAAGGTTAAATGTGTGTGTGTGTGTGTGTGTGTGTGTGTGTGTGTGTGTGTGTGTCCGCAGTCGATGCAAGAGTAGTTCTTTGCTCGACAGGGCATTTTTTGCCAAGAAGAGGACAAACTCCATATGGAGTGTCTTCGATGCCCAACATCCTCTCAGGAGTAGATCGGTGCTGCCAGGAGCAATCATGTCTTGTGTCAACAGAATTCTCAGTTATTAAAACATTTAAATGCCATATTCTCTAGGTCTATGAAGTATTTGAAGATTACCTATCTATCCAACATGGATTTCTGTATATGTAGAAAACCTAACTAACATAGCTATAAATATGACAAGCACAGGTGACTATTAACCTGTAATTCTTATCAACCTAAATAACTTAAAGACTAAGGCTTCACATTATGAAAATAAACAATCTGTAAACAGATGTATAGTATAGGGACAACAACCTTGAAGTTGTGACAATATACAAAAATATCTTAATCAGAGGTAGAAATGTATAGTGCAATATAACAACAATATCCTTAATATGTATCAATATACAAAATGTCCTACACAGAGGTAGAATATACATATAGTGTGACAAATATAATTTTACATTTGTATCAATATACAAAATATTTCAAACAGGAGTAGGAACATATGTACAATACAACACATATAGTTTTGTATTTATATCAATATACAAATTATCTTAAATAGGAATAGAAAAATAGTTTTGTATTTATATCAGTATACAAGAATCCATACCAGTGCAAACTATCCAAAGTTGATAGTTACTGATTTAGTTTACAAGTAGATACAATAATCTACCTTATTATCCTATCATATCTATTCTCCCTTTTTCTTATCCAAAAGAGAATCCTGAGTCTAAACTTTATTGTTCCACCCCCAACCCTATTACAACTTATAACCAACCCCTGACAGATGACAATTATCCATAACCCTGAAAAAACAAAACCTTTTGGGAGAGGGATGTAGTTTTCTTAAAATTGCTTCCTGCTGTCTAGAGGGTGATGGTATTTCTGTGCGATTCTGTAAGAAAACTAAAACAATGGTTAATTCTCATAAGGACTACTGTAACATTTGTAGCCAGTCTCAGAGTAACAGGTAAAGCTTATCTGAAGTCCTGGCTAGAGGTATAAGATGATGGATTATCTTAGTTAGCCACCTTGGAACTGTCCTGAGCAGTTTGTAGTCCAGAGCCAATCTTTGTGTGTTATTTTACTGGCTCAACGGCGTCATTATGAACCAAATAGAATTATTGTTGTGGGGCCCCATCTTCCTTCTGGAGACTTCAAAGATCATTGCTAGGAAAATTTATTGTTCACTGTGGAAAACTTAAACATTATTAATACCAAAATAGAAAGTTTAAATTTTAGGATAGCACTATATCTAAAGAAAGGTTCTGCTGGGCAGTGGTGGTGCACGCATTTAATCCCAGCACTCGGGAGGCAGAGGCGGGTGGATCTCTGAGCATTTGAGGCCAGCCTGGGCTACAGAGTGAGCTCTAGGAAAGGCGCAAAGCTACACAGAGAAACCCTGTCTCAAAAAACCAAAAAAAAAAAAAAAAAAAAGGAAAGGTTCCAAAGAGTCAAGAATAAGTATGGTGAGAAATAGAATTTTGACGACAATAGTCCCTAGATTTTTGTTTTTTGTTTTTTTTTCTGTCCCACACCAGGTGGTTCCTCTGATATGAGACAGAAGCTCCTAATATTTTCTTTTAACAACATGCTTGGATTTAGAGAAGGAGAGAGCCACGCTCCAACTCCAAAGCTAGCTTTGATTTTTAATTGAGTTGAGAGTACAACTTTTCTGAGAAGTAAAGAGATAGAGATGTTTAGTAGTGAGATTTAACACTGCAGAGAATATTGGTACCAATAGGTCTGAGTTTTCTTTGCTTGCAATTTTTTTGGGGGATAGCCTTCCCATCTGCTTTAGATATCTAGATATCCAAGGTCTTTTGACTTCTTGAAGATGGGTATTTCTATTTTCCTATAAAGACAAAAACAGAACCCTACCCTGACCCTTGTTTGGTGAGTTTTCCTTACAGCTTGTAGAATTGTCACATTGGTGGATGAGCTATCACTTCTCCTTAATAAGAGGTTTGTCCTGTTTGAATCGATTCTTTATTAATTTTGATGATATCCAAAGCTTTTCTTCTCCTGTGAAAACAAAAGCAAAAAACCTTCCCCAGTGTAGCACATATCCTGGTTTCCATTCTGAGGTCAACACATCTTTAAAGTACACAGGCTGATTTAACTTAGTAAATTTTTCAATTATCCAATGTTTCTCTGCAGCTGTTGTTCCTTTCTCATCAGCATTAAGAAAATTTAGTATTAATAAGGCATTATGCAATCTGTCTTTGGGGATTTTGGTTCCCCCTTTCTGTTTGCTAAGTATTTCTTTTAAAGTGCAATTAGATCTTTCTACAACTGCTTGTCCTGTAGGATTGTGTGGTATATCTGTAATATGCTTTATATTATAATATACAAAAAAACTGTTTCATTTTACTGGAGACATATGCTGGAGCATTATCAATCTTAATTTGTATAGGTATACCTATTATGGCCATGACTTCTAATAGGTGTGTAATTACAGAATCAGCCTTTTCAGAACTCAAAACTGTTGCCCATTGAAATCCTGAAAACGTATCTATTGTATGGTGTACATATTTTAATTTTCCAAATTACGCAAAATGAAACATATCCATTTGCCAAATTTCATTTCTATGTATACCTTTAGGACTACTTCCTGCCAGTGATGGAGTTTGGTTATAGAAGGAACAAGTAGGACATTTTTTTTTAATATAATTTCCTTGGCTTTTTGCCAAGTGATTGCCATTGATATGGTGGGGTTTTTTTAAATGAAATTCTGAGGCCTCCAGCACACTTCCTATTAATAATTGATCAATTTCATCATTACCTTGTGCAAAAGGACCTGGCAGACCCATATGGGATCTGATGTGTGTTATATATATAGGATGATCCCTATTTCTGATTATTTTCTGTAATTTTATAAATATTGAAGTTGTATAAATAGTGAAGTTAATTAGGTTTTATCAGGAATAAATTCAGCAGTTTCATTATGTAAAACAACTCTTTCTGCATATTGAGAGTCAGTAACTATATTGAGAGGTTCTGTAAAGTCCATTTGTACCATAAGAATGGCATACAATTCTAACTTTTGTATAGAATCATAAGGGCTTTGAACCACTTTACTTAAGTTTCTTGATTTTTTTGCATCAGAATAGAACATAGGGACTCCAGAGATTAATATTCTCCATACAATGTGAGGAAGGACTTAACTAGTTTTTTTAAATTTTTTTTAAATGAATTTGATTCTCTTGCTTTTGGTATAACTGTTGTTAATCTTTCCTAAAAAAATACTGAAAGCTCCTTGCCAGTATTCATTTTCTGCCCATAAAGAAGAAATTTCTTCATTTGTTAAAGGTACTACAATTTCTGCTGGGCCTTTTCATGTCAATTGATGAAGTCTTAATATTCCTTTGAAAATCAAATCAGAAATCTTTCCCACATATATCTTTAATTTCTTACTCTGTTTATGTGGTAGAAATATTTATTCCAACACAATATCTTTTCTCTGAGTTAAAATCCCTGTAGGGGAATGCATAGAGGGTAATATGACCAGAATGCAAGTTAAGCTCTGGATCCACAAGATCCACATGTGCCTCCTGTAATTTCCTTTTCCATAAGAGCCAATTCTCTCTCAGTTTCAGCTGATAATTCTCTTGAACAATTTAAGTTCTTGTTACCATCCAAGATTTTGAACAAATTACTCAATTCATGATTTTTTTATCCAATAGTGGTCATAAAATTGAAATGACTCCTAGCAATTTTTGAAAGTCATTAGGAGTCCGCAATTAATCTCTTCTGATTTGTACCTTTTTGGGTCGAATTTTTTGTAGACCTATTTTATATCCTAAGTAATTAATAGAACCTTATCTTTGTATTTTTGCAGGAGCAATTTGTAATCCCCAGCAAGGCAAAACTTTCTTTACTTCTTCAAACATTTTTCCAAAGCATCTACATTTGAATCAGCTAATAAGATATCATCCATATAATGGTAAATTATAGATTGCAGAAACATGAATTATTTCCAACAGTTTTTGCACAAAATATTGGCAAAGAGTGGGGCTATTTAACATTCCCTGTGGGAGAACTTTCCATTGATATCTCTTAACTGGCTGAGAATTATAAGTAGGCACCATGAAGACAAATTTTTCCCTATCCTTTTCTTGTAGAGGTATATTGAAGAAACAGTCCTTTAAGTCCATAACTATAATAGGTCATTCTTTAGGTAACAGAGAAGGCAAAGTCATTGTAGAGAGTCCATTGGCTGAATCACTTTATTTATAACTCTCAGATCTGTCAGCATTCTCCATTTTCCAGATTTCTTTTTAATAACAAATACAGGAGAATTCCAAGGGTTGGTTGATTCTTCAATATGTTGAGCATTTAGCTGCTCCTGACCCAGTTGTTCTAAGGCCTGTAATTTCTCTGATGTCATAGGCCACTGCCCAACCCAGATGGGTTTGTCAGTTAACTATTTTAAGGGTAGGGCCTTTAGTACCTCTGAGAGTTCAACAGCAGCTGCGCCCTGTTTGTGTACAGCCTGAATAGTAGGTGACTTTTCTGTAGTCTCTTATGCTATTCTTCCAAGAAACATGAATTGGATTATGGTCCATTTCTGAGATTGGAAGAATGTTAATCTGGGTATTCCATTGCTGCAACAGATCATGACTGCTAC